AAAAAAAAAAAAAAAAAAAAAAAGGCAAATAAACTACAAGCAATTACTTAAGAGTTACAAAGCATTAATTTGAGTTCCCCTAAAAAGATCTGCAGACTTCTAAATAACGTGTATTAGATTAAGAGACAAGATGCATAATCAGAATGAAGACTTGTGTACTTTTCAGAAACAATGAGTAACCTTCAAGAATGTCTTTTTTTAATTAAATACTTACCTTTGTTCTTCTTGGAAACTATTTTAAATAGTTTTGCAAAACACATACTTTCTTATATTAAGACAATTTATGTAAGAGAATTCATAATATTTTCTTTTTGGAATCCTACCTATAGTCTTCCTTCACTGACACTGGATACTAAAATTTTGAGGAATTCTCACCAAAAAAATCATGAAATTAGCAAGTAGAAGCTAGCAAAATTTACCACAATTTTAAAATAGATTAGGTAAAGTAAATTCAGTCCACACTATAGGGAACTGCTGAATTAGGCTTTAAAGACTGTGAAGATTCATTTATTCTCATACTACCAGTAGCCTAAAAACTGTAATCTCGCAACAGTAAAAAGAACCAATTGCATGCAGAATGAATACAACAAAGAGCAAGAAAGAAAATGGAGACCAAGGGCATCTTTTACACTGAGTTCATACAAACCAACAAAAACAAGAATAAACATCATTGTTCTGTTATGCTTCCTTAATCCAAAATACTGACATAGTGGCTTTGCTCTAAACCAAACACAGGAAAATCTGACTACAGGACTGCCATCAACCTAGAGAGATTTGCAATGATACACAAAAGCAGCATGCCGATGCTGAAATTCAATCATGAAAAAGTAAAAAATAATGCAGGTCTCAAAAGGGGTTTGAGGAAAATTTGGGAGCATGATGAATATCATGATTGCAATGATAATTTCTTGAGTCCCAAAATACATTAAAATTTATCAAGTTCTCTTTGTATGTACTTCACTTTAACTCTATTTCAATAAAGCTTTAAAAAATGAGCAGGAAAAGAAGTTCTATTTTATCTATCATTCAGCTATTTGAAAGACAAAAATGGAAGCCAATTGGGTGTCAACAAACAAGTTCAATGGCTCAATGATCATAAGAAAACAAGAAAGTGACACAGGTTTTAAAAAAAAAGAACGACTATCAGCACTTTCAATAGGAAGCACTACATACTTAAAGAAAATATCTTGAGACAGCTCAGAGGATTACGGAAGTCACATGGCTATGCATTCTATGTCCCACCCTGTGTACAATGCTCTTGATTTCCATTTCCAAATGAATCTGTGATGACACAGAGTTTAATCAGGATTTCTGGCCTTACTGTACTTCTCCTCCTTGCACCTCTGCAGAATCTCTAAGCTCCTCTGGTGGACTGGGTGTTGGAGAAAACTAAAACTATCCACACTTTTCAAAATTGCACAGGGCGCTGTATCATCATGTCCTTAGGAAGCAAAAGAAAAAAAGGGGGGGAGGGAGAAAAGACATTATATAAGCCCAAACCAATAAAGAATCAAATACAATGCTGCCAACTATCTTAAAATGTATAAACAGTATATAGTATAAAGGCTAAGTGTGAATAAGTTTTCCAATTTATTTGAGATAACTACATACAACTAATAAGGTATCCAAAGTGTCCTTTTTACTACCTGAAGTACTATAAGTTAATATTAAAATTTCGAAATTAAAATATTTTGGGAGATAGCAAAAACAATTTATATGATTCAGTTATTTTTGTAAAATTATTTTCATCATATCTGACATAACAACAGCATATAGTTGGCAACATTGTTGAAACCGTAAAGAGAAATACACCCAAAACAGTTCACCAATAATTAAATATTTCACCAATTCTGCAATTAACCACACTTGTAGGAATTCCAAGTGTGTCAATAATCATTTTTGAAGAAAAGCAGCATAAAGCAAAGCAGCAGCACTTCTTTCTAAATAAATCTGAAAATAAAGCTGAAGAATCTGTACCTCACCACCACTTCTCAGGAAAATGAGACAGAAAATCAACTACATTGGAAAGAAAGAGCACACATTCACATGAAGACCAAATACCCAGATTAGTGTTATTTACACAGTGAGTCACTCCAGAAGTACGTCTGTATGGGGGGAAGGGAAGTCCAAACCATAAATATAAGCAATAAATGAAGTGAAAAGAGAATATAGGGTTTCCAGGCTTTCAGAGAGTTTTGTATCATTTTACCCAGAGATCACCTAGAGGGTTATACTGTAATGTTCAAATTTAAAATGTTTTTCCTTTAAAAAAAACAAAAAGTGCCTAATTTAATAATAGAGACAAATTAAGCAACACAAAAAACAATAAATTAAAGCTTACTTAGTGCACTTACTCTAGAATACATTTTTTTTTTTTTAGGCACCAGGGATCGAACTCAGATTTCGTGCTTGCCAGGCAGGCGCTTATGCTGCTGAGCTATATCCCTGGCAAGTGCACTTATTCTATTAGGAACAAGATACAAGGTAATAATCTATGAACAGTTTTCAAGGTAGAAACATTATCAAGTGTATACATTTTAATATCATAACTCCCTAAACCAGAAACCTAAATTCAGACAACAGGCATCTACATTTAGCAAAGGACAGGGAATCTTATAATCAATATCAAATATCACAAATAAATTTTAGGCTTTTAAAAAATTTGAAGTACATGATAATAAAAAGTTACTAATAAAACATTATCATTGGGGTCGGGGAGATGGCTCAGTGGAATAAGCGCTTCCCTGGCAGGTACAAGGGCCTGAGTTCGATCCCCGGTTCTGCCAAAAAACAAAACAAAACACTATCATTTATCCAATGAGAATCAACAGTTATATGTATTTCAAAAAGACATAAGTATAACTAAGTTAACTATCATTTCATATTCAAAATACTCCTCAGTAAAAATACTGTATCTCCATTATTAATAATTTACACTTGATGGGCTACTTGGAGAACATACACTCAAGCATCAACTAGTCTGCAAGTAGGTGACAGACAGCTATGGGAAGGTCAGTTAAGAAAAAGAAAATACCTGGAAAGCTCTGTGTTCCACCCAAATTGCAATTTTTTAATGCATTTGGTACAGGATCAACAGGGTGTTCAGGGTGTCACTAAGTAGTAGATAAGACACCTAGTGATCCTCCTGTTTTCAGCCTCCCAAGGGCTGGGATTATAGGCGCAGGCCACCACACCCAGCCCCAATCGCCATTACAGGGTACCCTGGGGGCAGGGCTGGCACAGCAGGCCTGGAATTGAACCCCAGCTGCTGCACTCTGCCTAAGCAGGTGCTTTAGTTCACTGAGCTATCTGGCTGGCCCCAAATTACTATTTTAAGAAGTTATTACTAAACTATTGCCCCCTCAACAGCTAATTTTATAAACTGGTAGAATTCAAGATGATTATGAATGCCAGACATGGTGGTACATGCCTGTAATCCCAGAACTCTGGAGGCTGACACAGAAGGACTGATGTTAGTTGAAGGCCAGCCTGGGCTATATAGTGATGGTGAGGTCCTGTCTCAAAGAATAAAATTAAGATTGAGTGAAAAATGTTTTATTAATGAGTGTAGGATACGAAATATACTGACTTGCTATGTAGAACTTTAAGGAATCATTCAATATTAATCAATCTTTCATTCTTAAGTAACTTCTAGTAGGTCATGGTGTGTAGTACTTTATCTGGTGAATTCAGTTCACTAATATTTTGTTAAGAATTTTTGTGTACATACAGGACACAGTAGTTTGTGGTATTCTTTTCTTACTATGCCTTAATCTGCTATCCAAGTAATACTGCCCTCTGAAAAGCAATGGAGCGCTTACGAGGCTGAGGCAGGAGGTCTGCTAAGAGTTCACGGCCAGCCTGGGCTACACAGTGAATACAAGGCTATTCTGAACTACGTAATGAGACCCTGTGTCAAAAAGCCAAACAAAAAAGCAACAACAACAACAAAAAAGAAGAATATGGAATGGAAAGTATTTTTTTTCTTTTTTTTTTTTTGGGGGGGGGGACTTTTGCACCATCCACGTTAATTCTTCAAATATTTAACATTGTCTGAGAACTCACTAGACAATGGTCATTTTTATAACAGGTTTTTAAAACTATTAATTCAGTCTTTTTCATTGTTATAGGCTTATTCAAGTTTGCTATTTCTTCTACAGCAGCACTGGAATATTGTTTGGGCAGGCCTTTCTAGAAATTTTTGCATTTCAACATGGTTTGAATTTTTTTACTTTATCCATATAACCAAATTTTTTTTTAAGTTTCATAAGTTTATCAGACACATGGCTGCACTGATAAAGGTTCTACAATCTGAGGTACAGGATCTCAGGACAAATCCTGAAGGCATTTCACTGACCTTCTCAGACCAAAAAGCTACAACTCTTGTTGCATAGGTCCTGCTTTACCTTGGTCTTAACCATTCAGTAGAAAAGTATGAAGTCGAAATATAAGAAATAAAGCCATGCTGTTGTGTTGAGCTGTGGGGGACTCAGGTCAATAATTTCTGACATTGCCAGTTAAACAGAAGACCCAATGCTATTATGGGCTACTGGACTCTTTTAGAATATTTTGCTGAGTTTACACACCTATAATATTCAATAACGGAACTTAGAGAAAATGGAGTATACCGATGAATGTCCATTTTGTATCTGTGTATTCAAAGAGGCTGGGATAGATATATAGTTGCATTCTCTTAATGAATAGAATGATTTGTTCTAATGGTGTTTGTAAATAGGATCACAAGTCCGCATCTTGTACAGCAATTAACCACTAAGAAGAATATATGCAGTGTATTATTTGTTGAAACTGTACTTCCGATTTGATTTGAAACTGTCTCATTGCTATCTGTTTATCAATAAAACTTTGAAAAAAAATAAGTTTATCAGAAATGGCCCTTTCCTTTCACTAGTAAAATTAGTGAAAATTTTTGGCCTTTTCTTTTTTTTTTTACTATTTTTATTCTCCACTTCATTTATTTCAAATTTAATATATCCTTCCCTCTGCCTACTTTGGATTTTAGAATCTCACCTTACTGGTTTGAGATCTTTCTTCTTTAATAATACAACTGTTTAAGGTCTACCAACTTCCCTCTGAGCTCTGTTTTATCTGCATCCTGTAACTTTTTGTGTTGGTTTGTTTCTTTGTTTTCTCTTCAGAGTATCCAAGAGGACCTGTGGCACAACCCCACTAAATTTCTGCTCACTCCTCTGATCAACAAACAATACCTGGCAGGGAACAGGCTGACTTCAAGAATTAGGATGGGCCATGTTTGTTTCTTTTTTAGCCCCATTTATCTCAAAGTTGCTTCTAATTTTCCTTTATTTATTTACAAGTCCTTAACATTCCACATATTAAGATTTTTATTTCCTCTTTCTACATGTTTTCTATAATTTTGACTATGTTATTTTTAATTAATAGTTCTTAAGGAAACATCTTAATTGATAAAACTCTAACATGGACTGAAAATAACAAACTTAACAATATATGAACGCTCTCTTCAGTCCGTCCCTCCATACTTCACACTACTATTCTCATACAAGTTGTAACAACTTATAACTTTCTAGTAACTTTGTATTATAGTTCTGTCTTTCTGTATTAAAGCAGCGTATGTCCATCAAGAAAAAATTATTGCTTTATACAACTATCTTTCAAATCAGATTGAAGGAGAAACACGTATTGTTTTGGTATTTGCCTAAAATGGTGCTCTTCATTTCTTAACATGTACTGAAGTTATTGTTCAGTGTCCTTTCACTTCAACCATAAGAACTCCTTTTAGAATTTCCTGTGGGGTAGGTCTGCTAGTCACAAAGTGCATTACAATTTATCTAGAATTGTTACAATTTTACGATCATTTTTCCCCACTCATTTTTTAAAATTTCACTTTCATGCTGAAGTATGGTTTTGCTGAAGACAAACTTCTTCATTAACAATCTTTTTAACTTTTTTCCATGGCTTGAATAGGCCATTCCACCACCTTCTACATCAATGGCATGAGACAAGAAACCATCTTTTGATTTTACTAAGTATCCTGCACGTCAGTGAGTTACTTTCCTCTTGCTGCTTCCATCATTCTCTTTGTGTCTGAACAGTTTAGCTGTGCTGAAATTACAATCTCTGAATCTATCTTCCTTGCAGTTAGGTGAGCTTCCTGGATGTGTGCATTAACATTTTTCATTAAATTTGAGGACTTATAGCCATGATTTGTTTCTGGTCCTTTCTCTTTTCTTCTAAACTGTAAGAAGTTGGTACACTTGATGGTTTCTAACAGAGCTCTGATACTTTGTTCATTTTATTTCCTTCTAATTTCTTCCTGTTCTTTAAACAATCCCAATTCATCTGTCTTTAAATTCAGGGATTCTTTCTTCTGCCTGGTTAAATGTGTAGCTAAACTCCTCTGATAAATTTCCGTTTCAGTTATTGGCATATTTATCAAAGCATACTGAAGGGAAAATAGTTATAAAATTTAAAAACTTATATACTGTCTTACACATTTAACCAGGTATTTATTTATATGTACATATGTAGTTGCTATATCTTTATTACTAACTTTACTGAGATGTTGTTCTCATATTTTCCTTTACTTTTTCAATTAGGAAGTTTACAACTCTGTCTTGGCATCCACTTTCTGCTTGAACAGAAGTTCAAAGTTAGCCAGAATTGAATGCTCAGGAACATTGGCTTGTCCTGGGCATGCACAGAGCCCTACACAAGTACACAGAAAACTGCATTTCAGGAATACACTGGAATTTCTCAAAGGCATTATAGCTCTCCCATTGCCCAGCTTTCCTTAGAAGCTGTATGGTGAGGCCGCAGTTTGTCCCAACATCAATCTGCCACTTGCAGCAGCTGCATTGTTTAATAATTCATTCTAACTGTTTCCAACAGTGTACCTGGGTTATACACTGTTCACTCTGGGTAAATACCAAATAAATAAATGAAACCTTTACAAATATGTTCTTTAGGGAACTGTACAAACAGGCTAAATGATAAAAATTCCCTGAGAACAAGGCCTTGAAAGTGTATGAAATCCTTTTATTTCCCTCCAGTGGTTGGACTACTGACTTTTAATATGATTTGGGCTGCTGGTTTCAAGAGTTACTATGGAGTGCGGAAAGGAAGGGAAGGGAAGAGTACACATTAAAATGCCACAAAGTGTACCATCTTCATTGCTAGTCATCCTTTTTTGTATAAAACTTTCTGGGTTACTCCATAACTACTTTCCATAGTTCTGACAAAATTATTCTAACAATTATCATTAGTGTTTCCTGTTGCTATTATGGAAGACAATTTTTGGAAAGGTTTAGCTCATTAATTTCACTGATGCTTAAGCCAACCAAAATTCTTAGTTCCCATGCTATAGTTCCCAACACAGAAGTGACTTATAAATAATGGTCAGGATGTTTTTTTAAAAAAAATGTACATTTAACATCTCTTTAGTGTTAGATAAACCTATGGACAAACACTGCATCTGCAGAGATATCCAAGTTAGTTTCCCTATCTGGTCATTTTTCAAAAAAAGATGGTCACTAGAACTCTTCTTTTACAGAAACAAAAGAGTGTATGCATTAGAGTTATGCAGTTCACTGAGTTAGATGAAGAAGAATAGTTTATATATGATCCTTTAACCTCCCAACCTGCAGACACTATATTAATAGCTGTAGCTTCTCTGTTCATCAAAAAAAATTGGTAAAACTTTGAGACCTCTTATAAGTCTCCCTTTCCCAATGCCACAGCTGAATGCCTTGTGTTTGCCTAGTGCCTTGAAACTCTTGAAAATTCCTATTTGGCCGTACTTTTTTTTTTTTTCCCCCGGAACCAGGGATTGAACTCAGGCCCTTGCGCTTGGCAGGGAAGCGCTTATTCCACTGAGCCATCTCCCCGGCCCCTTTGACCGTACTTTTAATATAACTCCAATATAACCAAATAAAGTATCATTGTGCTAAGTGCTACATGCATATAATGCATGGTCAATATTATGACTCTCCTATGCCTTCATCATGACCATTAAATAGTGGTCTCTACTCTGGGCTCATAAATGAGGCTTAAGGTGGATGACAGAAATGGAATAACTACTTTGTATTATCTCACTGCTGACCAGACAAAGCATTTCAACTTCTCCTTCTTCCTTCTAGCACAGTCAACTTGCAGCTACACTCAAACTGCCTATTTATGCAACTCTATTAAAAGTATTTAAAAAAAAAGATATTTTCTGGTTTCAAATACAGTAATCTGGTTTCAAATACATATGATCCAGTCATCATAATATTCATTCTACAACTATACTAAAATTTTGCTCAAAAACAGTAGTTAAATTTTTTTTTTTAAAGGCATTAAAATGGTATCAATTTGGAAGCCTACGCAAAATAACAAAAAAAATATAGTCGAATTCAATCTTCTCAGTTGTATTCAGTTGGCTTGATTAAAAGAAAAGAATGTCAGGAAAATTCCTTGGAAAACACAGGAGGGAGGGATTTTTATTGTTGTTCCCTGTTAGGATGTTTCTTGATGATTAGTTAAGAGTCCACTGAACATTTTTATAAAAATATTTTTAGCATTTACACACCTATAATATTTAAATGATGGAACTTAACAAAAAAGAGGGGATACAGATGAATGTCCATTTTGTATCTGTGTATTCAAAGTGGTTAGGATAGATATATATAGTTACATTCTCTTAATGAATAGAGGGATTTGTTCTAACGGTGTTTGTATATAGGATATCAAGTCCGCATCTTGTACAGCAATTAACCACCAGGAAGAATGTATGCAATGTGTTAATTATTGAAACTGTCCTACCAATTTAGTTTGAAACTATCTCATTGCTATTTGTTTCTCAATAAAATTATGGAAAAAAATATTTTCAAAAGAAAGGAAGGGGCTGGAGAGATGGCTCAGTGGTCTAAAGCACCTACTTGGAACAAGCTTGGCAAAGCACAGGGACAGCGGTTCGATCCTCCAGCACCACATGCCACATGCCCCGGCCAGCCCCCTGGTGGGCTGAGCTGGCCACACACACACACACACACACACACACACACACAATAAAAAAATAAATGTAAAAAAAAAAAGAAAGGAAAATATACTGGATTTGATTTATTTGTATTTTAGATCGGGTCTTATTTACTTTCTGCCTACTTTCCATGCTTGTTTTATGCATTCTAAATGAAAAAATATTCCAGAAGAATGAGTATATGTAAGCTCTGCACAACTCAGAAAGAAAAACTAGATTAAATAAGAATAAATTTTATCAAAACAATACCACTGTACATCACTTCTCAAATTTATAAGGATGACCATAAAAAAACTAGCTTGCTCAAACAAAAGATTTTAAAAGTTAAAGGAGCACAAAAGCAATGTAAAGTTGCAGAAAATGACATTTTCAATAGCAAATACAAGAAAAGTTTCAGTACATAATAACAATAACCAATTCAGTTCTGAATGGTTTTACTACAAATTTTTCATGATAAATAAGAAAGCATCTAAAGGCAAAAATCTCTCCATAAAGCTCTGATAAAAAGTATAACCTTGAAAGAAAAGAAAAAAGAAAAAAAAAAAAGAAAAGAAAAAAAGTATAACCTCTCAGGAACCACTTTATAAAAGGCAAATCAAGTTTCAAAAATTGTAGTTATCCCTATCTATCAAGAACACTTCACACATATTACAATCTAAAAAACTAAGTTTAATTTCAACCTTCCAAGTGTATTTATTAATTTCAAATGATTAAAAACTGGTTTTCAACTTTTATTCAATGTTTTGTCTACAACTAGAGCTGCAGCAAGCAACAGTTAAGTTTCCAATAGACTACAAATGCTTATGAAACTCGCCTCACACTCAATGGGAAATGGGGTTGAGGAAGAAGCATAGAAGGGGTAAAAATATCCTTTTCAAAATTTCAAAGTAAAAATTCAATAAACTAAGGAAAAAAGAAAATGAAAATTAATATTAAACATGTTTTCCCTGACTTAATAATTTGACTTATTTATCTAGGTCAGATAATTGTTTTCTTTTTCTGTATTTAGGACAGGGTCTACAGGGTCTCACTATGCAGATCAGACTCAGTGATTCTCCTGTTTTCAGCCTCCCAAGTACTGGGATTACAGGTGCATGCCACCACGTCCAGTCTCAATCGCTGCCTCAGTGCACCCTACAGGCAGCGCAGGCACAGCACGCCAGGGATCAAAGCCCAGCCACTGTGCTTTGCCTAAGCAGGCACTTTAGTCCTCTGAGCAATTAGGCTGGCCCAATTAATTAATTTAAAAAGCAATACTTTTACAGAAAAGAAAAAAACAATGCTCTAAATCACAAATGTTAGTCAGAAGATGACTCGGAAACAGAGTTCTCTTCACTTATTCTATCTCTATCCTACTCTTTCTTTCTCCTAATTTATACTGTCATATTTTATTATAGTAAAAAGTATGCAAGAGAAAAGTATAAAAATTAAATTCCAATTCATTATATAATCATTATCACTGATTTTTGTTCCAAAGCATACCAATGACTTACTGTCTAGGAACAAAGTGCTTTATATTCATTATTTCTATCACTATTAATAAAACTATAGCTACACATAACTCACATAGATATTTAATCATACAATTCACTCAACTTATAAGTTCTAAAACATGATGTCACCATATGGGTAGAAAACAGAACAAAATAAGTTACTGTGATGCTACACCTTGTGTACAAGACATAAAAAAGCAAGATGAAACAGTAAAATATTAGTAACTATTGCTTACCAATTTTTCTCTCAACGTGTCTTTTCCCAGCTTCCCTGAAAGCAACCATGGCTCTGAAAAAGGCTCGGAGAACTGCCCACCGGAAAACAGCCACAGGATCAAGTCCAATCATCCCAGAGATAAATGCATTCTTGCTACTTCTCAGAAGAGCTACAATATCTGGACGCATATGATCTGTATTTTTTTCCCGGAAATCCTGTCAGAAAAGTACCAGAGTTATTTGAGGAAAACTGGTAATATCAAGAGGATGAAGAATGACATGTTTGATCTTAGTTGAATAAAGATCATAGACGTGAACCCTCTTCTAGCTACCTAAATGCAACAGCTGCCCTCTACCAAGTACCAGACAATCCTGAAACTACTGAATTCTATAATACATAAAAGTTAGAACATTTCACAATTTTATCACAGCTTGTTAGATAACGATCAGGCTCAGCCTTTCCAAAGGGAAGTATTACAGAAAAGGGTAGGAAGGCTAGAAAACCAAAAGAAGCCAACATGAGAAAAGTCAGGAAGAACATTATAAGCAAATGAACACATTATACTCCTTGTGGTAATAAACTGACCAAGTTACAAGAAAAAAAGTAAAGCCAAGGGCTAGAGCTTTGTGGTTAAATGTGAGAGTTATTTATTTAACCAAATAAATAACACATTTAGGCCCTATAAGACTGATTTAAGAGTTTTACTATTCTTCATCCAAGTATAAAGGGAAGCAACTAGATAATGACAACAGCCAACTAGTGTTTTATGAACATCTGATGTTGCACAAAAAGTGAAAGTACACAGAATAGAAAAAACACAAGAACAAATATTGTGCTAAGCAGAGAAGAAGTATCCGTCAGTGGCTTGGGGTAGGTAGGTGAAAAAAGAAATGGCAAAGAACTATCATATTTGAGGTATATTTCAGGAGGTACAAGTAAAAGACTTCCTGGTGAATTAGTATGGTAAAAGATCACAGAAATTACATTAACACTATCATGCCCCAATTACACAATAAGTGGAAGTATGAGTCAAACATAGCTACCTATAACAACTATACTATTTATTGAGTGGTCAGAAATATAGTGAAATGATACTCCTGAACACCACTGAACAGAAAGGCAGGCTCATAAAAACATTTTATTATGTCCTTAGCTATCTTATTCACTAGATCAGGCAGCACATGACTCCTGGCTCTTCCCCAAAGTCAAAAAGACCGTGAAAGGGAAACATTTTGAATACATTCAGGATATGAAGGCAGCCATGACAGTTTAATAAAGACATTCATGAAAAAGGACTCTCAGAATAGCTTCAGAAAGTGGCACTGATGGTGGGATGTGTGTTTAACAAGGGAGCTTATCTGAGGGGATTTAAAGTTGATGTGTCCCTAGATGTAGTGGCCCATGCTGGTAATCCCAGCACTCAGGAGGCTGAGGCAAAAAGATCACCTTGAGTTAAAGGCCAGGCAAGGCTATACAGTGGGACCAAGACCCTGTCTCACAATAGCCAAGAAAATACAATAATAATACATACAATTAATATGTCTTTTACTGTAATGACTTTTTACTTCAACATACACCATATTTTTCTATCACACCTTCAATATAAATATCATCACCATATAATTTTGGAGGGTTTTGCTCGTTTTCAGACAGTGTCTCTACTTTCTCTAGGATAGTTCTGAACTCTTGTGGCCCCCAGGCTAGCTGAAACTCACAATCTTCCTGCCTCGGCCTGAGTGCTGACGATATGAGTGCATGCTACATACCTGGCTTAGCATACAGATTTTTAAAGCTATTTTAAATGACCGGTCTTTTATAGCTAAGGACTGTAAAACAAAGGTAATACCAACCTGCCACAGCATACAAGTTAGAGAGGAGAGAACACAAGAAAATAGATTAAAATATTCTGTATGAATATGAGAAGGGTAAGGAAGCTAATAATCCAAACATAAAAGTCTAGACTGTTCTATATAGTCCAAATACTGACTGTAACTTTAAAACTGTATATGTTAAATAAAAACAGTAAAGATATAGTGAGTACATGTGATGATTAATCTTGACTATTAATTTACTTGGTCTGAGAGATACCCAGGAGATAAGTAAAGCACACTCCTGGGTGTGTCTGGGTTGGTCATGGGGGCAGGACTGTGAGACCTACATCTGGTCCCTGGCCCCTTCCTTCCCCTGCTCTCCCTTGCTCTTGGCTTCCTGGATGCCTTTCTGAAGCCAACTCACTATGGATAAACTTCTGAAATCATGAACCAAAATAAATTATCTCTCCTTTAAGTCACTGTTTGCCAGGGATTTTGTCCTGTCAATGGAAAGGTGATAGGGTACATCATTCTAGCTTGGTACAGCTTCACTGAACACCCCTAATTCAGAATTCCATGAAGAGCATTCCTAGAGTATCATGGAGCCCTATGCACAAAAGCCCTTCAGGGCTTTCCTTTCCCAATTTTTTTGTTCTGAAAACAAAGGGAAAGAGAAACAAGCCAAGAGTTTTAATCTTTGGCTCATACCTAAATATCCTCAGAGAAGAAACTAAATAACTATGTATCTAGGTATGTATGTATGTATGTATGTATGTATGTATCTATCTATCTATCTATCTATCTACCTATCTATCTATCTTCTGTAAGAGTTTTCTTTTTTTTGCTCCTTGAATGCCTTCAGGGCACTTTTGCATGGCTGGAGTGTTGTGGGGATCGAACTACAGCAAACTGAGGCTGCCAGCATTGTGGAAGCAGCCACTTAAAGAACTGAGCTAGGGCTGGGCCCCCGTGTAAGAGTTTTCAAACCCAAACCACCAATATGTAATTATTACAGCTTAGAATTGTCAGGTACTCATATATTGTCAGGCATTAACTTATATAACATACTGTAATTTATTCAAACATTAATGAAACAGATTTGAACATACTACATTCATAATTAAGTAGGAAGGTAAAACTGTCCACCAAGAGACTAAGAGAAAACTACCATGCAGAAACAGTAATCCCATTCTATTAACAATTACACTTTACAACCTAAATTCTACAATTTTTCCATGACCACAGTAAAGCATGACAGTGACTGATGACTTTCACTTTCAAGGCAAGATGGATCTTATTTCTTGATTTCTAGGTACTGTGTGCCTTATAGAAATGTGCAGATACTTTATAGACATGTACTACCACAACCAGCTAACATATATGTGTGTACATACAAAGTCAGGAGTAAAGTATCTAGTTCATTACCAGATTGTTCCAGACACTGAGCAGAGTCTGACATATGACCTATTTTTTGACACATATCTATGTTCAATAGATACTTTTTTAAAAAATGCATCAGTAAATGGGTGAATAAATTATCTTAAGATATACACATAAGAACCAATAAAAAACATACTGCTCCACTATTCTTTGTATTGTTACTGCCTTGCTCAGGAAATTAAGTACCTTAAATTTAAAGTACACATAAACTTCAAGTGGTGAAGAGCAATTACCTTGCCAGATATAAGTAAAAAAATGGATGACATTATAAAGATTCCCCTTCCCAGGAGTTAGGAGTTTCAATACTTTCATTAAGAGTGCAAGCTTACAAATAATAGTGCATGATAGAACTTATGGGTACAAAGGAGGGGATTCATAATATTACATGGAAAAACCAATGACTTTGAAATATACACATATTATCTATTCTTTCAGATTGAAAGTTCATTAGAATGGACTAACATCAGATTTTAATCTGCAAAAGGAAATGAGCAAAAACATAGTAGTAACTTCATGTCTTCAAATTTTACTGATGTTTATGCAAACCAGGACATTTCTTTTTTTTTTTTTTTTTTTTTTGGAACCGGGGATTGAACTCAGGCCCTTGTGCTTGCCAGAGAAGTGCTTATTCCACTGAGCCATCTCCCCCGCCCCAAAGGCTCTTTTTTTTTTTTTTTTTTGGTGGAACCAGGGATTGAATTCAGACCCTTGCACTAGGGAAGTGCTTATTCCACTGAACTATCTCCCTGGCCCTCAAATTTTACTGATGAACAACTTCTAAAAACTACAAAGGAAACAATACAAGTATACAAGGGAGAGTGACATAGTCAAGAACATAACTCTGCCCTGAAAGCACATTCAATGAGAAATTCACTGACCTTTACCCCATATTTTACTTTTCCAGCATAATGTTTTATTATGAAAGCAGGCTCCATCACAGCTGGAAATTCGATGTAAGAATTCTCTTCATGTTGATGCTTAAACTTGTCTAGTAATGTTTGATTTGTAGCTTGTGGAAAGCTAGATTAAAGATTAAAAAGAGGAAAAAATGTAATAAACATGCAGTAGAGCATCGCTTTTTTTAAAAAAGTACATTAGAAGTCAATTGCCATTTCATACATTTAGCAGTCTACAAAGTTTTCATATATAGCATCTAATCTGATTATCATAACAAGGCAAAAACTGAGTATAACAAGGATGGTGTTCCAATTCTACGGATAATAAAAGCTGTGATTTCACCAATATCTATACTTGCAATTATCCTTAAAGAAATTACAGTGGTACCACGATTCACAAGCTTAATTCTTTCCATGATTCCACTCACAACCCAAATTAAAGAAATGAAGCATATTTTTCCATAAGGTCAACATTGAACTTAACCAATGAATTTGATCTGGATCTCATTCAATTTGATTTACAACCAGAAACATGGAAAGAATTAAGTTCAAGAACTGAGGTACCACTATAACTCAAGTGATTCATTATTTAGCTTAAACTGCACTGTACTTCAACACTGTAAATCCCAAAGGAAAATAAAACCCAAACCTGAGATTATCAAGACCCCTGACAGGGGCACAGATTCCTTTGGCAAAGTAGTCAATAAGACCAATAACAGAGAACTGTCCTCACAGTACTGAGGAGCAAGTAGGTTCTAGGGCTAAGCATCTGCCTGGCAAGCACAAGGACCTGGGTTCAATACCCTGTACTATATGCCATGCCAGGCCCTGGAAATCTGGGCACACTATGCAAGCCACCAAAACTAGGTGTGGTGGTGCACACCTGCGATTCCAATGCTGAGGAGGCTGAAACAGGAGGAATTACTATGAGTCCAGCTGCACAGGAAGATTCTGTACCGAATGAATGAATGAATGAATGAATGAATGAATGAATGATTTTTTAAGTAGTTGAGCTACAGAAAACCTCAACTGAAGACCAATCCTAACTCCCATATTATGAGGTCAAGATCAGCTCCATAGACAGCACAAATCCCATGGCATACTTGGCTGGAGTACACAGCATATTTCTATGAACACCAGAAGAATTTTACTACTTTTATTCTCCCTTGTTTGTCTGTTTGGCTATCTTTTCCCTGTCTGGTTGGCATTCATTCTGCTTTGTCGTCAGTTTTGTTTTTTCCCCTGGTACTGGGAATCAAACTTGGCACCTTGTGCTTGCCTGGCAGGTGCTTATGCCACTGAGCTATCTCTGCAGCCATTGCTGCTACTTCTCCATTTTTCCTCCTTTGCTTTTTGCTGCTACCATGAACAGTTGCTCTCTGTCATGTGCAACTCTGCCTTGAAGCCAACTGAGTATGGACTGAAACTTCCAGGAACTATGAGCTAAATAAACCTTTCCTTCCTTCATTGTGGGTGTTGGGTATTTGTCCCAGCAAAGAGTAACAAAGACATACCCTTTTTGTTTTCTTCTACTGATCCTCTGTCTTTCCTCAACTACCACGTGACATTATACTTTCAAGGGAGTAAATATTGGCTCTTCCCCTTCTGATTTCTCCTCTGCATTTTCTTTCATTCTCTCCCTCCTGTGTCCTCAAGTTTCACCAAACTTGGATGATCATCTTTTCACCTCCAGCCTTCATTCTACTATATTTGACCTCATTCATCGCTTTACCCTCTCACCTATCCATCTTGATCCCCTCCCTGCCCCCAGCAGCAAGGTGAAATCACTCCACTAGGGAGAAAACTACTGCATACAGTAAATGGTATATGATAGCTTTTGTTATATAACTTTGGAGTTTGCTCCTATGGTTGGAGGTATCAGGTAAATGGTTACCATAGTTAGTAGTTCAGCTATACTTGGAACTATTGGTATCACTAACTGTACTATTTAGCCAGGATGTCATGTATAATAATATAATCAGTTTTTTACACTTGAATGATAACCCTGTATGTATGGAGTCTTAAACATTATCACACTACAGTATGAAAGGACTAGGTGCTGACCCAAATACTACCTGTGCATACTTTAAAAATCGGGAAGGTGGGTTCTTGGGATAGCTATAAAGAACCACCTATGTCTAAGAGGATATTGCTGAAAACAGGTATCTCCTAGGGAAGCCTTAATACTAGTGATAAAGCTATCAACTATAAGAAATTGGCAAGCATTAAGATGGAAAACAAAGGGCCAGGGAGATGGCTCAGTAGAATAAGCACTTGCCTAGCAAGCGCAAGAGCCTGAGTTCAATCCCTGGTTCCATAAAAATAAATAAATAAATAAATAAATAAATAAAATAATTTTTAAAAAAGAGATGGAAAACAAAAGAGAAAATAGAAAATGACAAGACACAAAGGTAAAATGCAACCCCAGCTGACCTCCAGCCCACTCAGAACAAACCTGAAACATAATGACAACGTAAACTGCTTTCTGAAAGATACTTTCTTTCAGTGACATTTCCCATAATTGAAGCCCTTACCCAACTTTTAACATGTAGTTTATACTGCCTCTTATGTCCTCTGTGAACTTTTTTGTTATCCCTGCTGACTGTTTTCTCCTTTCCTGAATGTTTATATTCCTATATTTCCTTTTATAAAATTCTTAATAGACATTGTGTGACTTCTGCATATAAAATGCTTAATTCATATGACCAGTGAAAATAAGCTCTCTGATGTATATTTAAAATAATAAGAGGTATGATACAGAAAGATATACTTAGGTATAGTTAAGAAAATTGCAGGGCCAGCCAGATAGCTCAGTGGACAGAAGTGCCTGCTTAGGCAGAGTGCAGTGGCTGGACTTCAATCCCTGGCATGCTGTGCAGGCCTGGCCCCCCAGAGAGCACTGAGACAGCGATGGCCTGCACCTGTAATCCCAGCACTTGGGAGGCTGAAAATAGGAGAGTCACTACGAGTCCAATCTACATAGTGAGACCTCATAGACCCTGTAGACACTGTACCAAATACATAAAAGAAAACTGCTAACTATCTACGAATAATAGGAAAGCAAAGAAAGGACGTTAAAGAGTGACAAAATAATAGGAATAGGTACAGTATAGAAATATGCACGACAGTGGAATAAGCACTTCCCTGGCAAGTGCAAGGGCCTGAGTTCAATCCCCAGTTCCACAAAAAAAGAAAGAAAGAAAGAAAGAAAGAAAGAAAGAAAGAAAGAAAGAGACAGACGACTTAGTAGAGATAAAAATAAAAAAAAACTGCTAATTATGTACGTGTGAGGAAGTCAGAAAATAAAGAGTAGACTTTCTGGATTTTAAGAATTAAGAGGGACTAAGGCGCCTACTTAGGCAGGCACACAGACCAGGGGTTTGAACCCCAGAGCACCATGTTGGTGCCAGTCCTGCCACTGGGGCACAGTGAGAGGGCAATCAAGACTGGGTGTGGTGGCACAAGACTATAATCCCAGTGCTTCAAAAGCTGAAAACAGGAGGATCACTATGAGTCCAATCTTTGTAGTGAGACCTTGGAGACTCTGTAAGAAAATACATTTAAAAAAAAAAAAGAATTATGAGATTATTTCCTTTCTTGGAAGTTCTTGGACTTTCCCTCCTCCCCAAATAAAAGAATATGGTTGGGTTGTTTTTTTTTTAATTTTTAAAGAGAAAAACTGATAGAAAAATTTCAAAACAAAGGGTGGGGATGTAGCTCAGTGGCACAAGAGTCTACCTAGCAAGTACAAGATTCTGAGTTCAATTCCCAGTACAAAAAAAAAAAAAAATCAGAACAAGATAATAGGAGAGTAATTGTGGTTAATACATTGAGTATTAACTTCAAAGTAGTATAAATAAGGGCCAGCCAAATAGCTCAGTAGATCAAAGTGTCTGCAAGCAGGTACAGGGGCTGGGGGCTCGATCCCCAGGCCTGCCATGCTGGCCCCACCCCGGGGGTGTGCTGAGATGGCAATTGAGACTAGGCATGGTGGTATACTCCTGCAATTCCAACTCTTGGTAGCCTGTAAACAGACAGATCACTATGAGTCAGATCTAGTAGTGAGACCCTGAAAACCCTGTAGATCCTTCCCTAAAATACAAAAAAAAAAAAAAAGGTAGTATAAATGTCTAGTGGTTTTCAGAACTATACTGAATAGTAGTGGTGATAATAGATATCCTTGTCTGTTTCCTGAGTTTAGAGTGAAAGCCTGAAGTTTTGTCCATTTAGTATGATGTTGGCTTTTGGTTGGTCCTAGATGGCTTTTATCAGACTGATAAAAAGACATGTATTCCAATTTTCTATAGGGTTTTTATCATGAACAAGTGTTGGACTTTGTCAAAAAATTTTTCTGCATCTAATGAGATGATGTAGTTTTTGTACTTGGCTTTATTAATATGGTGTATTACATTTATTAATTTACATATATTGAACCATCCTCACATCCCTGGGATGAATCCTACTTGGTCATGGTGTATAATCTTTTTTTTTTTTTTTTTTTTTCTTTTTTGGTGCGGGGGGTACTGAGGATCAAACTGAGTACTTGCACTTGCCAGGCAGACACTATGACCAAAATAAATCCACACCAAGGTATATAATACTCAAGATTCCAGGGATTCAGCAAAAGAATAAAATATTGAAAGCAGCTACAGAAAAAAATATATTTCCCAAAAAGGAAATGTCATAAGAATGACAACAGACTTTGCAACACAAACCCTAAAATCAAAGAGTTTGGATTAAAGTATCTCAAGCCCTAAAGGAAAACAATCTTCAACCCAGACTGACATACCCAGCAAAACTATCTTTCAAAACTGATGGAGGGAGCCCTTTTACCAAGATGGCGCCAACGGTGAAGAAGGAAGCCGCTGCCCCTCCCACAGCTGAAGCCAAAGCAAAAGCTTTGAAGGCCAAGAAGGCCGTGCAGAAAGGCATCCACAGCCACAAAGAGAAGAAGATATGAAGGTCGCCCACCTTTCACAGTCCCAAGACACTGCAGCCCCAGAGGCAGCCCAGATACCTTCAGCAGAGCACCCCCAGGAGAAACAAGCTTGACCGCTATGCCATCATCAAGTTCCTCTGACCACAGAGTCAGCCATGAAAAAGATTGAGGACAGCAACACACTC